AAAAAAAAAACCATTCAATTTTGAAAAAAAATAAAGAGTTTGATTGCTAGATAGCCGCCCGACAACGGTTTGTAGATGTGAAGGCGTCAACCTTCCGAAACAGGGCGGACATGTAGTCTTCTGAAAGTAGCCCCCCAATTGCCTGTATTCTTTGTAGATGATTGAGAGTTAACTTTTAACAAATTAGAGCGATGGTGGATTTTGATTTGGGGAATAGCCACTTGTGGGCCTCTGAAAGATTGATTCGACAAAGGGAGGGCATCCTAATAGGGGAGTCGAGTAGCCCCCCAATTGCCTGTATTCTTTGTGCCTTTTGTGAATCAAAATTTTTGAAAAGATTGGGAAGGGATTCGAGGTTAGTGAAGGGAGTTAGATTAGTGGACGGTGTTTTTTTGTTTGTATGGGATGAATGGTCAAAGAATAAGAAGGGGAAGGTCGAAGAAGTGAGGAAGAAGTTTGAAGAATCTTGTGATGCTAACCTTACGTTGAAAATGATTGATGGAGGATTCAAGAAGTGGGATTTTTGGGGCTGTCGGATTTTAGTTGATGATACCAGGGTGGAATGCTGGTATCAAGCAAAACATTTCGTAGAAGTATGGGAAGAAAGTGAAAGATTGAGTTATAGGTGTTTTCAAGACTTCGACTTTTACACGTGTGTCCAACAAAAGAGAACTCGGATAAACGGGTTGCTGCATAAGATTAAGCAAACCTCCACTTCGGTGGGAAGAGTGGGGGAAAGCGTACTCACGCTGAATCGAGGTCTAAGGCAGCATGCCTTCCCTGTTGAGACATTCCTGAAGGTTTGTTTTGGTCCGTCCGTACTGGGCCCGGTAGTTGAAAACCTACATTTAGGCTAGTAGGAAGGGTCAGAATTTGAGTTGTATGTGGTTGTCGAAAGCGACAACATATGGCCTGAGCGGGACCCTGTAGGCATATTCTTGTTCGTCCTTTGTCTTTTTGTTATTCTTACATAATTTTCGGTCGGCCTCGAGCTAGAGTACGAAGACAATTAAAGTTCTTAATAGGTTAGTGAGCGATAGAGTACTTAAAGCTCATAAAAAAAAAATCAAAAACTGATAAAATATTTAAGGGACCAAAATAAGATCAAAACAAAAAATGAAAAGTGAAAGAAAAAATAAAAATTGAGTGGTCGATCACGTTTTGACACCGATATCTTTGACGATTTTTCATTTGTTTTTGGCTTGGTAAAATGCAGTGAAAATTTATGTGCATGTAGCGTATGTCATATAAAAATCAAAAAAACAATTAAACAAAGGCCCTGAATTTTTTTTTGCGGGGCCGGAACCCCTTCAGGTTCGGACCACGAACGGGACCCCGAACGTTCGGAGGTCAGCCTGGGGGCCCTTGAACGTTCGACCTGGTAACTATGTATATATATATATATATATATATATATATATATATATTTATATAAATAAAATCCAGCTCATTGTAGCGGTTGGCTACTAGGCATATGACAAGCTTACCAGCACCAGACCATTTCATAATCCCAATGTAATTGCATAACCGGTCCCCTATGAGACATTATCCTACCCTTACTCATGATCACGATCCCCGACGCATCCCTACTCTCAAGGTCCTACTCGAGTGTACCCAAGATCATCACTCATTCTAGTGATTTTTTTGACCGAACAGCGATTATAGGCATCAGGGCTAAGCAGGTTCTCACCTCATCGCACACTTGGAGCACTAGAGGCAAGCATGTCACTGCAAGTCGCATAAGCAAACATTAGTTTTTTTCCTGTTTGTTTGAAGAGATCTTAGCCTTATCCTCATCAGATCCCTTTGGTTATTATTTGAATTCTTGGGGAGACTATTCGAATTTAAAGCATCTCCAATTTTCAACCTTAGTAGGCTTACGACCACCACTCGCTCCCCATACCTTTATCATCAACTGAATGTCTAGACACTTTATTAGCATCCTGAAGAGTAACTTCAATTTTCCTCCTCAAGGACTTACGGTCACCATTTACTCTCCCTCTGGCAACCTCTATCATCAACGGAAGGTACTCTGGGCTATTCAAATATAACAGTATTTTTTATGCAGGTAACAAACCAACCTTCAACCCCTAAGATAACCTCTAATGCAGGTTCCCCGGCGATATCCTCCACCAGATCCTATCCCAGCGAGAGGTGGTTAACGAAGACCTTAATTTTCAGACAACTTGTCATGCCATTTATAACAAAATCCAAGGGTCATTTTAAACAAACTTGCCACCAAGTCATAGAGTAGAGACCATAGTTATTAACTGGAAAAAAAAAACGAATAAAAATAACAAAAAACCTATAAATCAGCAAGGCAAAAATGCACTTTGATGCAAAATTCACCAACATTCAGTTTCAAAAATCTTAAGAAATTTCATAAATTTTAGCAGAGGAAATTCCAATGCTCTAAATGAGACAAAATTTGGTACACAACAACTTTGAACTAAAAAAAAAACAGGTAAAACAAATATAAAATTTGATCCGCGAACCCTAATTTCAGTTTTGGACCTGATAGTCAGGAGCTGAAACTGGGGATCCCCGTTAACCACGTGTGATCCCTGCTCCATGTTAACCCAGAGGACCCCTAAGACATCACAGAGGTCCCAACCCTCCAGTAGGAATAGTGTCCAACCAACCCTCCCCCTAGCAAAATCATAAACCAATCCCTTATAAAACCCATGCACCCCCAAAACTGAGCCCTAAGGTAACCAATACTACATGATCAACTGCCCACAACCATAGTCTGCATCCCCACAATGTTGATTTATAAACTCATTTTTTCGGTATCGAACCTCGAAACTGAGCATCATGCTTATTAGTGACCAACGTTAACCTACCGAGCTACAATTCAAATGGTTTGAACATATGCGACGCTGAGCTCGAGTATGGGACAAGTGTGCAAGCATCCAGATAACCCCATAAACCTAGTGTGCAAGCAAACCAATCATAGACCAGATGCAATATACAACACCATGGGCGATCCCTTGGGTGGTGTGCAAACAATGTTTGTAAGTGACCGTGCTTTATGTAAACACTCGCCGGTGGGTATGCAAGTGACCGTGCTTTATGTAAACACTCGCTGGTGTCTCTGCGCAGAGGTGCGGAGTTTTAAACCTGCAACCTCATACCATAATGCATATTGACAACTGGTGCCTTAGCCACTGAGCCACATACTTTATGATGTTTTCAGGAAAAAAAATAAATAAAAATCATTTTAACCACGAAATACATCGCGGCCACAATTTGACCCATATTCCATTGCTATTCAACATCTCTCTCTCTCTCTCTCCAGTACCCCCCCCCCCC